AATTTTCAAATCAAAATGTGAATTCAGGACTTTCAATATCCTTTTAGGCTGAACTTCACTTTTTCCAAACACAACAATATCATCAACATAAACCAACAGAATGACAAAATCTTTAAAACGATAGACACAATTACACACACTTACACCACTCAAACTTGGTAAACCCTAGGTTACATAGTGTTCTATCCAACTCGTAGTACCATAATCGCCCACTCTGATGCAGACCATACAAGGCTCTATCTAAACGACACACAAAAGTTTCTTTATCTCGCTCTACAAAACCCTGAGGTTGGGACATGTAAATTTCCTCTGATAAAGGAGCGTAGAGATAGGCACTTTTTACTCGCACTGTATATTTGCCCATCCAAGGTGTGCAACTAAGAGAGAAAAAAAAGCCTTATTACTGAAAAGTTGACTACAGGTGAGTAGGTTTCATCATAGGGTATCGTATTTAATTTGCCAATAACCCTGAGCCACCAAACGAGCTTTAAAATGAGCAATGTTTCCAAATTCATCACTTTTAATGTTGAAACTCTACCTGCAACCTAGTGGAGTCTTGTCTTTAGGAAGTGGAACAAGGTGCCATACCTTATGCTTTCGCATGTTGGCCATTTCCTCTTCCATCATTTCTATCCATTTTTCCTTTTCTGTGGATTTCATTGCCTGGTTATAAGTGTTTGGAAGTGAAACCTCTAGTCAGCTGTCTTGGGTATATGACGTTGAAAGAGTGCCAGTTGGGTCGATTTCACCACTATAAGTATTGCTTCCCTTGAAATCAAACAAGGTAGGATCATACTGAATATTATGCTCAGTGCAATACTTTTCTACATCATTTGGTGATCGTAGTCTTTGATTAGATGACCTCTTCTCAAAATAGCACACATCCGTACGAGTGCCGTCTGGCCTTGGAACAGGTTTACGAAACTAAGTTACCTGTCTCAATGTAGATTCAGTGTCAGTGCCAGGTATTGTAGAAAGAGGGTACACTGGTATCAATTCTTTCCTCTATTTCAGGAAAATAGCCAACTGGAGTATCAGTAGATTGGAACTCGACCCTCTCTTCAGATTCCAAATCAGGAAGGGTGCCCAGTGCAGCTCCACTGCCACTTCTCTGCATGCATTCCAACTGACTCTTTAAAAGTAGCATTTAGGGTTTCTACTACCTTTTGTGTTCATTTTCCAACCAAATCTTGTACCCTTTTGTTCGTACACTGTATCCAATCAATCGGCCCTTTGTTGCCTTTGGATCAAGCTTAGAATTTCTTTTAGCCTTTTGGAATTCCCACATAGGCAATCGTTCCAAATGCCTTAAGGTGACGTACTGATGGTTTCCGCTTAGTGTATACAATTCGAATGGGGTTCTATCTTGGCCCTTATGACAAATTCTATTAAATGAATATGCAAAATACATCACTGCATCTGACCAAAATTCAGGAACTCATTCCACTATCACAGAGTATAGATTATTGATCTGGATAAATCTCTCACAAACTGTTCTTTACTCCAAATTCTTTACACCATTTTTATTACAATATGACCTGAATTGTTCATTGTCATATTCTCGTCCATTATCAGTCCTAAAGTATTTCAACTTAAGGTTCAGAGATCTTTCAGCACGTGCTATATGCCTTTCAAATACTTCAAACACCTGACTTTTCTCTACAATGGGGTACACTACCACATAACGAGAATATTCGTCAATAAAGGAAACGAAATAACGTTCACTATTCCTACCTGGAATGTTAATAGGTCCCCATACATCAGAAAAAAACCCTTTCAAGCGGTCTCTTCACTTCACTTGAATACCTTCTAAAGGTCTATAGGAGATTCGTCTTTGCTTATTGATTTGACAATGTTCACAAAACAAATTAGGTGAGTGTTTTAACACAGGAAGACCTCGAACTGAATGTCTGTTACTAGTCCTGACAATAGCACCATAATTTATATGACCAAACCGACCATGCCATAATTCACTATTGTTATGCTGAACTGGGATGCCTCAAATTTTCACAGATTTGCCCCCCTTTTCACTATTTTCGGGAATACATGATAGTTACTTCCTATCAACTTAGCCTTGAACAAAGTTTCAGTTTTCATCATTAGTAATTTTAATTTGCCCATTTTTACCATAAAATCTTGCTCCATTGATATTCACCTTAGGTCCAGATATTAAATTTCGTCTCAGTTCAGGTGAGTATAAAACATCTTTAAACAAAATAATTTTATCCCCAAATTTCATTTTAACAGTACCTTTCCCATGAATTGGAAAAGTTGCCCCATCAACAGCTACTAGCATATTCTCATTCTTCACAAGAGAAAAAGTATCGTACAATTCATGATTTTTACAAAAATGATGATATGCAGCAGTATCAAAAATCCAACTATCATCATTTTCCTCCAAGTTGTTAACATTAGCTTGAGCTATGAAAAGGGACTGAGCATGGGAATTATTTTTACCTTTACACAACTTGGGTTTATTCTTACACTTAGGGGATGTTTTATTACTACTAGATACAGCTGAGGAAACAGAAGAAGCAGGTGAGGGTGATCTGGAAAAATTACCTTTCATTCTACAGTACTTTTGAATATGACCTGGACAGCCACATTTATAACACTTGAACCCTTTAATCTGCTTAAATTTGGGTTCAAAGTGAGTACTTTGAACTTCTATAGTCTTGTTAGAATTTTCCCTATCTATCTCCCTTAAATTAAGACGTGTTTCCTCTGCTAGTATTTCAAGTTCAACATTTTTAAATATGAACTTTTCATCTGGCCACCACCTCAAAACGTTTCTGAACTACTTGATCATATTTTTCTGGAAGAAACCTAAGAAACTGAAAACATATATATACATCTCTTACAGCCTGATTAATACCAGCCAATTGTTCAGTTATCAGTTTTAATCTAGAAGAAAAGAAACTAATACTTTCATTTGGCTTAATTTTACAATTTAAGAACTCTGAAAACAAGGACATATGTCTAGATCGATAATCTGGCTGAAAGAATTTGGCAAGCGTATTCCATGCAACTACCGGATCATCTATTTTCACATATTAAGTTTCTATATTCAGGGCTTACATTCATATAAATCAATGATAATGCCAAACGACTTCTATTTTGATAGTCGGCAACAATTTCTTTTGTAATACCCTTAACATCATTTAAATCAGGACATTTTTCAATACCTTTAACCAAAAGCCATGCATTTTTCTCATTTAAGACAAACTTCATATCTTTAGGACCATGTAAAATAATTACATGCATCAAGTTTAGCAATATTATGCATGACACTAACAGTAGCCATATTTGAATTTCAACAAAAACCGCCCCCAAGTCTCTTAAGTCCTAAATTAACTTTAAACTTCAAAAGTCTGCTGCACTAAAGATAACTCAGGGCTGGGCCCATAACCAAAATGATGCAAAAGCAAAGTTTAAAGTTGTAAAAAACATTTAGCAGAAGTAGCAATAGAAGCTCCCTAAGGTTATGTACTGTGCAGACATTGAAGACAAAAAGTTTTAAACTTAACCAATTTATTAACAATATATATAAATAAAAACACAATGAATAAATTTAATCAATATCAGAAACTTAAAGAGTAACATAATCATTATCAAAAAATTACACTTAGTTGATCATTCATTAACACCAAGGGTTTTTCCTTTAAATAATATTACACTATTAAAGACACAGTAAATATTTTACCTGATCTTTAAATACTGGCATTCAATACGCGAAAAACATATCACTGAACAGAAACTACACTGTTATTATGAAATTCACTTCACTATCGATAAGTCCATGCTTTGTGGTCAAGAAGGCACCTGAAAAATTAAACTAAATCCTTGAGAGCACTTAAACTGGAAAAAAGCCGCTCAATGTAGTTACACACGAGAAATCACAGCTTGGAAAAATATCGCTGCTATAATTTTGGAAAAACACTTATGTTGAAAATGCCGCCTTCACGAAAAACAGGTTGCTGCCCACGGCAGTTACTCACTGTAAATCACAGGTTGGATCTATTGCCGCCAAATCATAGAAACAGGATGCAGCCCACGGCTGTCGCTCACATCGTCGCCGCTTTTCAGGATCCAGAAAAAGGTCAGCTTTTGGAACGGAATCATGGCACTAATCGCTGGCTGGCATGCATCGCAATATCGTCTTCCAATGGGGGCTGGAACGGCACACCACGGCGCAAGGAAACAGGAACCAGAAGGGATAAACCAGAGCGACGCGAGATACTTATACCTGAAGTAGACATGACGTAATCTCACGGCAATCAATCAGCTATCAGCATGACTCAGCTTTCCAGATGATGTAACATCAAGTTTCGTTTCTGCATCTTAATTAGGCTGGAGCAGTCCATTCTTAATACAAACAGTGGCAGTGAAAAACGAAGCAGAAGTAATTACTATATCCCTTTAAAATAAGAGCTAAACCTTATGTAAAAGTTAGAATTATTTCAAGGAGGAGAGATGATGCAGAAAAAGGGTTACAATAGCTCATATTTTCCAACACGTTCATTATACATTCAACGTGAATGCGTAAACGTATTATGCGCATGCGTAAATGCATTATGGACGCCCGTATTAAAGACTTTGTACTAAACTAAAGAAATTGTTTAAAACAAAATTTTCCTGAAAATTTATTTTTACAGTTAAAGGTTAAATACACTTGCCACCTGAAACTGGTTTTGAATTTTGAACCCTTGTCTTTCTTGAATATTTGTCAGACATTTGAACTCCAACAATTAGTAAAACTTACGTATGCCAAATATTTATTACATTTAATTCTTATTAATGAAAAAATGAATATTTGCTGCATATTTATTTTACATTTTAAATATATAAATATGTCACTCAAAGCTAAATTTTAAATTCTCATTTTTTTTTAAAGTAGCGCTGGTCAGACATTTGAAATCCAAAAATATCCCAAGAGTGATTTATCTCTGTTGAGACATAACATTAATAAATAAAATTTAGATATAAACTATTATAGTTACTTCTCCTCTAGGATATCTATAATGAAATTTGTCCTGATCACGAGCAGCAAAGTCTTCTGGATACCTTTCCTGAATTTCTTCATAAGTCATTTCTTCACATATGCCCTTAGAAAACAGATATAATAATATTTATAAGACATACCAAGAACTATATATTACACAGTTTCAGGTTTGCAAATGTAACATTTCAGCACTGAATTATTTGCATAGTATCAACCATCTTATACCTTTGCAAATGGCCATGAAATTTCTTTTTATTATTCAGATTAACCTTAACACATAATATCAGCAAACTTTTTATGGAATGACTATTCATTCTTGAATAAAATAACAGAAGAAAAAACATTTTGAGGTTGTTAAAAATTTGATTCTGAGTCAAAAATAAACTGAACATTAAAAACATTATATAATACTTTATTAACATTAAGAAATACTTCTAATGTCCATACTATTTAATATTTCAAAACTAAAAACGGGCTAAAGTTATTTAATTACAATGAATAAACTTTTCCCATACGTGTTTTGAACATTTTAATTGAAGTCCAGTTTGCAATACCCCATTTTACAAATAGAAAGTTTTGCTTTCGAATTATTTTCCCAATAGTTAAAATTTCCATCTAAACTAAAGCCTATCATTTGCACTTTGATAAATCTTTCCTCACCTTATTTAATTTCTAGTTTGGTGTTATAAATATCATAGTTACCAAACTTGAAATCTGAAAAACTAGGAGATTTTTGTGAGAAATTTAGGAGGTTTCCATGTTGCACGGCAATGCCATTTCAAAGGAGCTCCAAACTGACTTAAATTCTCTTTATAATGCATAATTGAGGTTACTGGACTATTTGTAATACAACTTTAATGTAAAATACACTAGTATTTAATTACATATTTTAAATTTTATACTCTTTGGCCAATTTTATTTCGTAAATTTCTTACATTTTTACATTAAGGAAATTGACTAGGGGAAAAAAGCTTTTATTTATTGAAGCACTTTTAAATGTGATGAAAATGCAATTAATAATTAGCACACATAATATTTATCTAGATTTAGATGCAAACATTTGCAGTAGATTTAAGAATATTCAGATAAAATGAAATTTAATAAAAAAAAGGTCAATAAAATGTAAAAAGCAAAAAATGCAGTTCTTTATAGCTGAAAAACACTTTCCTTAAATAAAGAACAAAAATTAAAAATCAGGAAACGTAATGAAAAACTAGGAGAATTGGCACCTCTGGAAAACTATTTTTTCATCAAAAATTCATAACTTAAAAATGCAAAATCAGAAAAGCTACAAAAAGTTACATTTAATTTCACCATAATAGGCAATTTATCATACACTCAGAATTCAATACATATCAACAAGATTAAAGCATCCTAAACAATTTAATACAAATAATATGATTAGAGTAATTTTTATCTTGTAGTAATTACTCCTTACTGCTATGGGCTTGCATTTGAAAGTTTACAATTTGAAACCTGTTTTATTAGTAGTCTTTGGATTAACTTAAATAAGTTAATGGCAGTAAAAGAACACAGAAGTTCTGTTACGTATTAATTTAATTAGCTGACAAACTTTATCATTAAAGAATATTTAAATGCATAATTTTATCAGATTTCTTCCTGAACATTTGCTGCAAATGAAGCAAACTGTCTCATGAAAAATTCATGAACATTTTAAATCTTCATTTTTGAAGCATTTATTCAAGTCAACTCCTAAAAATTATTCAGTATGAGCCTTTTTATGTTTAGCATATGCATTAAACATACAATATCATAATTTGAAAAAGCTGCTGATAAATGGGTAAATGAAACTGTTATCATGGGTTGCTAAGTATGATGCATGAGGTTTCCAATTCTAAAGACTAAAAAAGTTTAATATTTTATGTTGTTATGTAACTGATATAACTGGTTATAAGCTAAAATAAATGAATTAAAATTTCTCAACCTTATGTCTAATAAATAATCACAGATATCTTGTAAAATGGTATCAGGAATAACCAGATGAAAACTGAATGCTATAGACTTTAACATCACAAACATGGCACTTTCAGACCATCAGATGAATTCTGACTTTTGGTTCTTTTAGGTTAAAAATTTTCAACATTCTTATAAAATAAATTGATTGCTAAAAATGACAAAGGAATAAGTAAGCAAATTAATAGAAATAATTACATGATATTATGTATTATTATATAATTAAGTATGAACACCATATTTACTTCCACATTTCTCCCCTTTGTACCAATTCCCCTTAGTGTTTTCAGCATATTATTTAAGGTAACAATGTAAAATGCATTCATAAATACATATAATCTCTCCCCTCCTGTAACATAATATAGTATCTCTCCTGTGTTTCAAGTGGTAAAAGTAGGAAAAGGAGACAGGGCAAATTTGTAAATAAGATATATCAATCTTCAGTAATCTGTTAAGAGTACAAAATACATAAATAAAGTAAAACTTAAGACTTACAGCATCAATTTCATTCAAGGCTTTCCACCTTTCTTGAGGTGCTTCTATACCAGCAGCTGTCTGTATAGTTCGCTTCAATTGACTAGTCCAAACACGCAAACGAGGTATGTTCTGTTCTTGAATGAAACGTGCTAAAGCATGGGTGTACTGGAAACCATGAAAAGAGGAAGAAAAAAACAATTTTATATTGAAAGTAGAAGTTTAATCAACTTTTGAAACTATAAAAATTAAGCACACTTAAAATCAGTTAAATACTCCTCTTTAATAAATATTACTTAGCAGATATAGCGTCAGTATTAGATATTCCCTGTCCAAGGCTCAGGCTGTATCTGTGTCCTTTAAGAATTAAGGGGAAGACTATTTAATATTTGAGTAAATGGATATCTTGGTAATTTGGCGAGATATCAACAAGCTGGTAACAGTTTTGGTGACTAATTTTTGGTCACCAAATTTAGCAAAAAAAAAAAAAAAAAAATCACCGAAAGTTACGAAACTTGGCAACATTTTGTTTCAGTCTCTGTATCACCATAATAGGTATTGTAATTGAATAAATGTAATTGATCACTATATCAGCTGTAACTGTAATTCGACCCTCATGTTGCCTACCAGTCAGAAAGTACTAGAAATATCTCTGCAGCCAGGTGAGACTGAAGAGAGCATCTGTTCTCAGTTGTTGTTAGCTGTTAATTCAGCATGAATTCCGAATACTTATCTCCAGGTTAGCTTTCTCTTTAGATGCACTTTGCATTGCATTGTGTTTAACATTCTTAGTAGGTAACTACTGATAGTGATACTGTGAACAACACTGTATGAGTATTTCTGTGGAAAATTAAAGAACTCTGAAAAATTATTTTGATAAAATAAATTTTATAAACCTATCACTGGGCCTGTATGCATTTAATCTATACTGGTGTGCAAAACTTAAGCAACAGGTGTTCTTTTTGGCATAACTCCACGAGAAAACATCTGAGAGACATGAAATTCAGAATTAAGAGACAACATTTTATATTTAAAAGATGATGAAACATAATTGCTCTAAAAATTCATACAATGCATACAGTATGGAATCAAAGAAAAACAGGCTTTCTTGAACTCACAGTATCATTACACATGATTGTCTGTACAAGAGGAAGAACAACAAGCAGGATATTCCCTGCCCTTATTGCAATGGTTGCTTCAAACGGTCTCTCCATACTCAACAACAGATTGTCCAACAGATCTTGAGGTAAGAGTGCCCATTCCTTGATCAGCATCTGTTTCAGTAGCTGAGTGTTCCCCAGAAGATGTAATCATGTCACAAGCATCTCCCCAAAGCATCCCACACATGTTCTACGGGGTTCAAATCAGGGCAGCACGCTGGCCAATCCATTCGAGTCATATCTTTAGTTTTCAGTAGCTTCTGAACAGCAAAGTCCAGTGTGGCCGTGCATTGTCATACATAAAAACGAAGTCTGCTCCAATGGTACCTCTGAACAGACGCACATGTGGAAGGATCACCTCCTGACGATAGCAATCTCCGGTCCGGTTACAGAACTTATGTCGAAAACGTGGAGCTCTGTCCGCCCGTTCAGCATAATGACTCTCCAGACGAGATCTTCAGAACACCGTAATTGTCTCTTTCCCTAATGTTACCGAGATTAAACGTGTCCCGACCTCTCTCCAAATCAATTTGTGTTGAGAATCGCTTGTGGCACTAAAACGATTTTCATCCATAAGGAGGATACGATTCCATTGATGAGATGCCCAGTTTTTGCGCTCCTTGTGTAAATGGTGATGCCGATGGCCAACTTTCAAAGGGATGCAGCGATCAGGATGGCAGGCGCATAGGCCACCTTTGTGAAGGTGTTTGGACACAGTAAACCATGACAATATGACAATTGTCGCCCATTGCTGTTCACAGTTGCTGAGCTGTTACGCTTGCTGACTGGTTTTGGGCTCTTTTCGTCTGCAGGACTATATATCGGTTATTTGCTGCAGTTGTTTTCCTGGGATGGCCACTACCAGCCTTTCTAATAGCTGTACCTGTGGTTTGGAAGGCTTTCTAAACGTGCGAAACACCCCTTTTGTTGATTCCACTCTTCAGCTACACTGGTCACACTTCGCCCCTACTCCAGATTTTCGATCATTCTTCCATGTATGAAGTCATCCAGATCATTTCTTTTAGCCATATTTCACAAAAGAACTACTCCTTTTACTTGCAGCGAATGTCTTTAATTGCATCTTCCTCCGTCCTTTTATGGTAATCTCGAGTTGAGTGCGCTGACCTTAAGTGTTTTGTGTACGCTCACGTAGCCTGTGATGTTTTTTTCTTGACATTTGCATACGCATGACCTTTCTACTGAATTGCGTGTTCATTGTACTGAACGCAAGAACCCCTTTTCTACAATTTTATGGCTATCTGATTAAATTTACATTGTTGCTTAAGTTTTGCACACCAGTGGATTACGAACCCATATGCACACAACAAAGCACATGTCCACTCAGATCTGATTATAGATTTGAAAGTGAACGTGCAAAATTAGCCTTAGATTTTAGTAGAAAATGCAACACTATTCACTATTCATCACAATGTAATGCATTATGTCAGAGCAAAGCAGAATGCTGCCATCCTTTCTAAATTAATGCCTCATGGAAGTTATTGCAAATTTACAAAGCAATCTTCCAACTGAACTAGAAAAGATAATTAAAATGCTTTAACATCTCGTGCGGCAAGCAACTAAAGACATTTTCTATGAATTATTGGTACCAGTGGGCTTTTGTAATGTTTTTACAATAAAGTTGGGTACACATGAGCACTAGATCAATGCCTGTATATTTCAACATTAAAACATGCATTACAGAAATGCATTCCAATGAATGCACTTCGCTGAACTTGTTATGCTACGATGAAAATACCACTCAACACCAGAGCTTCCAGCTATACATTGACATAAATCTGGGAAGCTGACTAATAGACACACTCTTTACAGCCTACAATTTCAGCAAGCATATTCATAAGCCTGCTCATATATTATCGAAAAGTTTATCTGCATAATTGAATTTCATTGCTGGGAGCACATCAATTTATTGCTCCTGTGTTCCCAGCCTAATTTGACCTTTTTTTATAGTAAATTCCCAAAAGGAACATTAATAAAATAGAACATGAAGAATTGTGTGCAGATAGTTTGTCAAATTGCTAGGATGAAGTTATCGATGATGATTCTAGCAATGACAATATTATGCATCATCCTAGGACTGTTATAATACAAAGAATTTCAACCAGTTATGTTATGTATCTTCTATATATTCAAAAAGTGAAAAAGGAAGCAATTCTATAAAAATATTTAATGCTTTTAATTAGATATACCAATTAAATGCAAATTTTAGATCAATCCGATTAAAAAAACTTTAAATATTTTCTTAAGAACTGCATCTATTGCTTTTAAATAGCTATTTGATAATTACAGACAAATTTAATATGAAAGAATAATATCTTACATTTTTCTGAATGGCAGCAGATATGAATGAAAAGCGAAAAGCAAGTAACGCAATTCTATAAAAATATTTAATGTTTTTAATTAGATATACCATGAATTAAATGCACTTTTATTACTGTAGAATGTGCTTTTTAAAAAAAAAAAAAAAAGTTTCAAAAGTAAAAAAAAAAAATACTACTCTTAAGAACTGAATCTCTCTTTTTTTAAATAGGTTAGTTTGTTCATCAGTAGCACACAGATTAAATCTGAAAGATGAGCAACTTTAAATTTCGCCAAATGGCAACAAGCTTAAATGAAAAGGGTTTGCCAATTAAAAAAAAGTACGCTGGACAAAAGTGCACACAGCAAAAGCCCACAAAAGTAACCTCACTGTGATAATTGCCAGTACAACAAATAGTTGCATGCATGAAAGTGCACATTGATAAAAGCCCACTTGAATAAAGGATTTGTTTTTAGCAACATAAGATGTACGACTTGTACTAAATGCAATATCTGAGTCTGACTTTTTATGTCTTAAAATTATGTCTGTTTATATTTTAACACTACTTAATTTGTAATGTTAACTTAAAAGTTTGTATAATCTGTCTATTTTTATGTTAATGTTAAATTACATAATGATTATTTAAACATATCAGAATTACTTGAAATAAGTGTCAGTCTTAAATATTAATATATTTGGCTGTCAGTATATTTGAATTACAAAATGTAACCAACAGCAATGTCTTGCAATTAAATTTCTGTCAGAAAATAAATATGAATTTGAAATTTTGTAAACAATGTAAAGCAGGACTTAGTTACTCTAACTAAAAAAAAAACACTCCCTTTACTTTATTATTATTGTTAAATCAAATTAGATCCCTGTATCAAACAAGCGAGTAGAAATCATGAATTTACATTCCCAAAAATTCCTTTCATTTTAAAAAGAAATTTTCTTTTTATCTTGGATATTTTTATTTCATATCTTAATAAAACAGACAGGTTATAAGCTTGTGCAAAAGTGTAAATTTGCCAGTGGACATCCAGCATGTGGCACCCACACTTAATTTTCGAATTCCTATGCCGAAAGTGTTTCCAAAAAACTAAGGTGGCACAAAATGATTTTCTTGGTTTCCCGGGTGTTCATGTGAATATTGCAAGCATCGTATAAAATCCAAGAGCACTTAATTTATGTATTTAATGGCTGAATAATCAGTCCACTCCCACTGAGAATGAGTATTTCCCTCTCCCCATAATGGCAACTAGAATAATGGTTGATAAGAGTATTGTAGTCGTGACAGCCATTTAGAATGGCTCGCTATTTTGTATCACTTTTTTTTTTTTTTTTGGCATTGCTGAATTCATATTTAGAATCAGTGTCATAAATGAAAGCAAAGGAAATACAGTCCCTGTGTCGTGCGAGTTATTTAGTGAACCAGCTGCAGCGAAACAAGTTTCATGTGTCACTAGGGCTACATTTGTTTACAGTATAGTTAATTTTCCCTAGCTAACAATCAGTGTTAACGAAATTCTGGTTTCATTGAAAACTCACAATTAATAATGTTTACACCACCTTTATACCCATAACTCATAAATGATCAATGTCAGAAACTTAGCTTTTCCAGCCAGCACTGGATTTGCCTTTTTAGAATTTTTACCTGCTTTCAGGATAATTTGAGGTAAGTGATTATACAT